CTTTTCACTTCAGGGTTTAGGGTTTAGGGTTTAGGGTTTAGGGTTTAGGGTTTAGGGTTTAGGGTTTAGGGTTTAGGGTTTAGGGTTTAGGGTTTAGGGTTTAGGGTTTAGGGTTTGGGCTCAGTTGTTTTTCAGTTGGCAAGATTGAACCCTCCCCAAACCCCAAGCCCAAACCCCCAGGCCCGGAATTCTTGAAGGGCGGCTGAGGGAGGCAGAAGGGGGGCAGGCCTACCGTAAACTTAGGCTCCTCGTTGCAACCAAGTGCCTTTGCCCTTTAGGGTTTAGGGTTTAGGGTTTAGCCCTGGTTGCGGCCCCTGTCGAGAATGCCTTTGCCCCCACGCCGATGCCTGTGCCGTATGAAACAAGGTTTGTATTCATTGCTGGTATTGGTGAGTGTATTGGTTCCGAGTGTATTAATTCCCTATACAAACATTGGTGAGTGTACGTGATTATTGTTCTTTTGGGGAGTCTCGCAATAATATCTATACTTCATTCCCCAAGTGCCCAATTTAAGGTGTGTTCACCAAGACATCTTTTAGGGTTCATGTACGAACAATGCCCCAAAAGGTCTACAGCCCAGTTTTCATCGCCCTAGAAAGCCCCTCTGAAGCCGTAAACACCTGGGGGACCGGAACCCTAAACCCTAAATCCAAACCCCAAACCCTAAACCTTAGCCTCAAACCCTAAACCCTAAACCCTAAACCCTAAACCCTAAACCCTAAACCCTAAACCCTAAACCCTAAACCCTAAACCGGGGGAGGGTGGGCTCTTGAGAGCGAAGGTCGGCCCGGAAGTGGGGTACAAGGAGGGCAGTCGGGGGACTCGGTCGTTGGGGGGTTTAGGGTTTAGGGTTTAGGGTTTAGGGTTTGGGGCTCAGGGTTCAGGGTTCAGGGTTTAGGGTTCTGGGTTTGAGGGATTTTCTTTTGGGGAGTTGAGGTGGCTCAGCATTTCAGGCATGTAGCTAGGGCCCCCCCCCCCTCGCCCCCCCCCCCCCCCTGCCCCCCCCTCCCCCCCCCCCCCACCCCCCCCCCCCCCCTGCCCCCCCCCCCCCCCCCCTCCCCCCCCCCTGCCCCCCCCCCCCCCCCTCCCCCCCCCCTCCCTCCCCCCCTCGCCCCCTCGGCCCCCCGCCCCCCCCCCCCCTGGCCCGCCCCCCCCCCTGGCCCCCCCCCCCCCCCCCCGCCCTCAGTGATACTGTCGTTCCCTTTATACTGTTCGGTCGCAAATGCTCGTTTAGGGCTTCGTGCCTCCAACGTGATTGCTGCTCTTGGTTCGGCAAGGCCCGTGGGTTGTCTTGGTTGTTTAGATTTTAGGGTTTAGGGGTTTTGGGATTAGTTTAATGCACCCCACAAAAGGAATCACAACAATTCTTGGATCCAGGTATTATGCTCACCAGATCAGGGAAGACGCGCTTTACACGGTGCAGGCGATACTTCTGCCATCTTCCCGAAGGCCTCAACCCTAAACCCGAAACCCTAAACCTTAAACCTTAAACCCTAAACCCTAAACCCTTCATTCCGGCCCCCGAGGTGTGCAGTATGTGCCGCTCAGTGGCTTCTCAGGCGGGCGCGCTGGCGGCAGACATTAACCCAAAACCCTAAAACAACCCTTAAACCCTAGGCCCTAAACTCTAAACTCTGACTCCTACCCCCTACTTCTTTTTCACGCGTGAATTTTCATCGTGCCCCCAGGGTTCGTGGCTTGCTACTATTTGATTAAGAATCCTCAAAATGGGAACAATCAAATAGAACAGATTAATAGTCCCTACACTGCCCATGTTCTTATCATCATTCACATCAGCATTACTATTATTATTAATATTATCATTACTATCATGATGATTATTATTACTACTACTATCATGATTATTATGTTTGTTGATTGTATAAATATTATTCTTTTTCGTATATTATTATTATGTTTGTTTTCTAATCATATGATTATTTTATAAGAATGATCTTCTGCGAATGAGGAGGTCCCGCTTCTTCAAGCAGTCCCGGAGGCAGCGCCCGTGCAGCAACCAGTGGAGAACATCGGCCAGCCTTTCCTCGCACGCCTGTGCAATCGCCTCTGTCCCAACATGCTTATGGGTTCCCCGATAATACTACCCCCTCTATACTATCCCCCCCCCCCCCCCTGTAGGTTCCCCTTAACGAACCTTAACTAGGCTTAACTTAATTATGGATGGAACCTAGTGGGGTGGTATAGAGTGGCGTAGTAGGGGAACCCATGACATCTGCCGCAAGACAGAGGTTACAGTTTTTCTGGGGCGAACAGGCCTCGAGCGACACACTGCCAAGCTTGTGGCGCATGGCTGCGATGACATCGAGGATTTGCGTGAGATCCAGGAAGCAGAACACGCAAGGTGCGACACTGCGGGAGCGATTGGCATCGAACGCGCCTACGGGATCTGCGAGCCAGGCCCTAAACCCTAAACCCTCTAGACCCGAAGCGACTAAACCAATCGTCCATGTACCTGATTGATGTATACTTGGGGCCCAAAGTCCCTATATAGGAGGCGGAGGTACGTGAAGGCCCAAGTATTCCCTATTTTGGTACATGGACCCTTAGGGTTACATAGGGTCTAAGAATCGCATGGGTCACCCAACATCTGAACCCCCGGAGCTCAAGCATCAAACCGCCTAGAACGCCCCAACTGTCCTGCCCTAAGTACCTACTAGCAAATCACGCCCCAGACTAAGCCCTATACACCCGAAACCCCAAACCCTAAACCCCAAACCCTAAATCCTTTAAATCCCTTACTCCAAACCAAATCCGCAGCCTTGGACCTCAGCCCTAAACCCTCATCGTAGGGAACTTGGGATGTTCCCCCCTATACTCGGGATTATCGTAGAGGGTACTATAGAATTCCTATTAAGGACTGTTTGTAGAAGGGGGAACATCCCAATGGGGAACTTGTAAATTCGGTACCCTATTCAAGAAAGAGAGGGTATTGTTATGTATCGGATCCGTTTTTTTAGGGCTTAGGTTCCCTTCTAAGCCCTTCTAAGCCAAACCCAAAACCCTTAAACCAAAACAACAAGAAAACTAAACCCTAAACCCTAAACCCAAAACTCCAAAACCCTAAACCCTAAACCCTAAACCCTAAACCCTAAACCCTAAACCTTTGTTTTTGCTTCCCAGGTCACTCTTGCATCTCGTCCGAGGGAACTGCCAGAACCTTCAAAAAACCCTCACCTCCATGGTTGTTTAGGGTGTAGGGTTTAGGGTTTAGGGTTTAGGGTTTAGGGCATGGCCAGGTGAGAACATGCTTGAGCGGAAGGAGCCCAAACTCTCCTGGTGGAGTGGCCCGACTCTGATCCAGGCGCGCCTCACGGTTTTCTTCTTGGGGGTTTAGGGGTTAGGGTTTAGGGTTAGGGTTTAGTCTTCTAGGACTTAACTAGGGTCTTAGGATTCAGGAACAAATTTGGGGTTTAGAGTTTTTTCTTGCAGTGCGCCATCCGGGTTCTGCATGTCGCAGTTAGCAGCCTAAGGGCATCCAAATGGACCCAGTAGCCCAAAATCCAAAGTCTTGGCGCCCCGAAGCACAAGGTTTATCCATTTCAGTTCCGGAGTCGCTTAACCCTCATGATGCCAAACCGCAACGCCAAGAACAATTTAAAACCCTACGAACTGCTATACTCTTATCTGTCAAGTCGGCGCCCATTGTGGCCCTAGCCTTGAGGACCACATCCACCCCCAAAGTCGGGGTCCTACAGGCTTGAAACACAACTGTTCAACATCCCCCCCCCCCCCCCCAAACCTTACAGTATTAAGCAATCACTCAACGCCTGCTGTGGGATTTTTTTCTTGGCTCCAGGAATCCGTTTAGGGCCTAGGGCCTTTAGGGCGTCAGGGTCGGGTGCTCTTCTAAGGGTAACTACACGAGTCCCTTAACATGGCCCTTCCTTCTTTAAAGGGCTCTGAGGGCCTTGGGTTGTATAGGGTATATAAGGGGTATACGAGGGGTCCCCTTTTAAGGTTCCCCACTAAGGGACCATGTAGCTACCCCTAAACCCCAAACCCTGAACCCTGAACCCCTTTAAGGGCCCATACCCCTAAGCGTTCTCAGGCCTTCGAGGTATCTGCTCGCAGTCTCCCTGTGTCCTCAGAATGGAAAGCCAAGGGAACTAAGGCTGTCTCCCACAGTTCCCCTGTGCAAGGGGAACCTCGCCTCACATAAGTTCTTCTTATTATTATTCTTCTTCTTCTTCTTTTTCTTCCTCTTCTATAATATATATATATATATGTATATTCTTCTTCTTCTTCTAATTATTATATATGGGTAACATGTAAGGGTTGTATATGTATAAGGGGTATATACATGTGTATATGGATATATCTATATCTATATTTATATTTATATCTATATCTATATCTATATCTATATCTATATCTATGTATATGTATATGTATGTATGTGTATATATATAGGGTATATATGCATATGTCAAACATGAAGTATATACAGGGTGGCCTCCTTATATGCGTGCCTCTGCTTCGCTTCCCTTTGGCTTGCAGGGCTTGCTTGCGACGCAAGCCCAGCCCAGCATTTAAGGGGCTTTCTGGAGGTTCGTCGCGCTGTGCTCAGGATTTGGGATGTAGATTTCGCCGCTGGAGGAACATGTGAACACGTTGCTTCACGACCGACTGTTTGGCCCAAACAGTGCTCCCGGCACGGAAGTTGACACAAGTCAGGCGCACATCAGAACTTCATTCAGTTCCGCTCAGACAGAGAAACAGCTACCCTAAGCCCTAAACCCTAAATCGCTTCTTGCACTGTTTGTTTGCGACGGATGCGACACAGGTGCCTCAACCAGTGAGCTGGCCACGGTCAGGGGTTTTGCTTGGAACTGAAGGAGGGTTCAGGGGGCAAGAAGATCCCAATCTTGGGGCTCCCTCTGCCCCCCACCAACAAGTTACGGCTCCGGCTTCGGGGTTTAGGGTTTAAATTTAGGGTTTAGGGTTTAGGGTTCAGGGGGATTCTGCAACTGTCTGGAGCGATGGCTGACGCGTGGGTCGGGCCGCCGGTCGCCAGCGCTGGCGCTTTTTGGGCCTTTCGGGCGCCAGCAGCCCAGCACCCGAGCTCGAAATGAATCCAAGAATTGGTGTTTAGGGTTTAGGGTTTAGGGTTTAGGGTATAGGGTTTAGGGTTTAGGGTTTAGGGCAAGGGTGTATGGTCCATATGGGGGTTCGGATAATAGGGGTGCTGCTTTGTATCCCCAAATATAGTAGAATCCCCTCTGAAAAGGACCCCTGGGAGGGTACCCTGATTCTGGGAAACCCCCATATACCTCATACCCTCCTGTGCACCATGCGACGATTGTGCGGGACTTTGATAGCATGGGGTAGATGATCCCCCAAGTTCATAAGGTAGATCGCGCCCCCCCCAAGGCAATGGAGGGCTTGGGGGCTTAGAAGGCTTAGAAGGCTTTCAGAGATCGGGTTTAAGGTTAGTATCATGGGTTTCGCTACTACAAATCTATACTACCCCCCCTAGGATCCTCCCTTAAATGACCTTAATTCAGCTTAATTATCCCTAACTAGGCTTAATTATGGGGGGAACCCAGGGGGGGTAGTATAGAGGGGGGTAGTAGGGAACCCATGATATTAGGGTTGACAGAATTCAGAGATTGGGGTTCCTAGAGGGTGATGACTCGTATGGACTTCAGCGAGGGGTGCTACGCAGGAGAGGCAGGGTCACCGGGTTCATGGTTAAGAGCTCAGGGCACGGGTTTAGGGTTTAGGGTTTAGGGTTTAGGGTTTAGGGTTTAGGGTTTAGGGTTTAGGGTTTAGGGTTTAGGGTTTAGGGTTTAGGGTTTAGGGTTTAGGGTTTAGGGTTTAGGTTGTACTCCAGGTGCAGGACAACTCAAGCTAGGCAGGTCATGCTCCACTTCAACCTTGAGATCTGCAGGCAGGCCACAAAGCCTAAGCCTTCAGCCCTAAACCACAAACCCTATACCCTAACCACCCCCCCCCCAACCCCAAACCCAAAACCCAAAACCCAAAACCCTGAAGCCTTAACCCTAAACCCTAAACCCTAAAACCCCAAACCTAACCCTAAACTCCCTAAACCCTAAACCTTAACCCCCAGACCAACATGAAGCTTCCTACAAGCCGAGGATGCCAAACCGCCCTGGCGCGCCGCAGGCCGCGCCGAGCCGCGGGAGCGTCGCCTGCGCGGCGCTCTTCCTTGGAGCCTTCGTACGCGATGGAGGGCCGTAGGGTTTAGGGTTTGGGGTTTGGGGTTGAGGGTTTGGGGCTTAGGACTTCGGGGCTGTAAACCCAAGAGGGTCTTGAACATATCATGTTTATAAGGGTTCTAATTGGAGTGTAGGTGTACCTTGCAGAAAAAATCATAAGCCCCACGTCTTGACAGGTCCCATGACTTATCAGAGAGTGCCTAGCCATGTGCACGGTTTAACCCCTAAACCAAAAACTCAACAACCCTACGTTGGGGAATCCTTCTTCGCCCCACTGCACGTGAAGACGTCTTCCGACTTCTGGGTGACAGAGTTTGAGCAATGTTATACCACACTTGGAGGCTCAGGGTACTTAGAACCCCACTTACAACTGTACATATCAGCCCCCTAAGTCCTCTAAAGTAGGTTATAAGCAGACATAGAACTGGGGTTATAAGTGCCCATGAACCTCCAAGTGGGGCGCCAAGGTTTAGAGCTTTAGGGTTACGGGGATAGAGCTCTACTTCGGGATTTAGGGAATTAGGTACCCTCCCTGCTTAGGGACTCCACGCTTAGGGACTATGAGGTACCTCCTACCCGAATACTCCTTGTAGGGACATAAGGTATGTAAATTTAGGGAACTAGGTACCCCCTGTCCCCCTCGGATATTGCCCTTTAAGAGGACATAAGGCACCCAATTCCTTAAGTCCCTGTCTTATTCAGGGTTTAGGGTTTAGGGTTTAGCGCTTAGGGGTTAGGGCGTAGGGTCTCAGGTTTAGGGTTTAGGGCCTACAGGGTTAACCCTAAACCCTAAACCCTAAACCCTAAACCCTAAACCCTAAACCCTAGAGGGTTGAGAGGGAGGCTCGAACTCGGGTGCTCTCCACGCGCTTGCACTTGCCAAGGAGCCCTGGGTCTGAGCCGCCTCTCTCCTGACTGCGCCTTGATTCGTTTTTTTTTTTTCGGCTTTAGGGTTTAGGGTTTAGGGTTTAGGGTTTAGGGTGGAGGGGGGGGGGGGAGGGGGGTTATTATTACGAGAGGGGTCGGAATAACTAAATACTAGTAATCTTCCCTGATGGTCCCTTTAGAAGTATACTAGCAGAAGCACCCCCCCAAAACCCTCTTCTAATCATTCAGGCTCCGTTTTTAGGTTTTGGGGTTTAGGGCTGTTTGAGGGTTTTGGGTTTTTTTACGGTTGGGGGTTTGGGGGTAGGGCTGATTTTGGGGCTTTAGGTTTCAGGGCTGCTTAGAGTTTGGGGCTTAGGGTTTTAGGGCTGTTTTGGGGTTTGGGGCTTAGGGTTTAGGGCTGTTTTAGGGTTTGGCAGTGAAACAGGGTATCTTTAGGGCGTTGAGGGCTCTAGACATGTCTTAAGGTATATTCTCGAATTAAGGGGGCTTGGGCTCTTTGGGCATACATCTTGCTACTACATTCAAGGCATATGAGCCGTGTGCGTTTTTTTTTGCACTCCTCAGTGAGATGTCCGAACCTCAAACCTGTATCTCAAACACTGCAGCCCCCTTGGCTTGGTGGGTCATTCCAGGGCCGTAAATCCTAACCTAAACCCTAAACCCTAAACCCTAGACCCTAAACCCTAAACCCTAAACCCTAAACCCTACAGACCCTGAAGACCCAAAACTCTCAGCCCGGTTCCCTGAGCCTCGCGAGCCGCTCAGTTGCGGGCGCCACTCGGGAGCCAAGCGCCAGGGCTCCCACGGTGCCTTGTCTTACGTAACTACTGTATACAGGGTTTAGGGTTTGGGGTTTCGGGTTTAGGGTTTCGGGTTAGGGTTTAGGCATTGCAGGGGCTTACACACTAGGTAGACCTTGGGACATTTATTATATTCTCTTATTGGTTTTGAGAGGGTCATTTTCAGAAATATGTTTCAGAGGGTTCCAGGCCATCCTAGTTAGAGCCTGCAAATCCGGAGTGTAGTGAATGGCACTCTGTTTGCAGGGTTGGTTCTGGGGTCGTTGGGAACTTCATGTGCATATACATGTGCATATATAGAGGGATGGTTTGAGGTCTGAACAGCATTTTTGCACAGGGGCAAAGTTGCTGCTCTGCACTTGGAGAAGAGGCAGGTTGTAACCCAGAATCAAAAGCCCCAGACCCTGAACCCTAAACCGTAAACCCTAAAGCCTAAACCCTAAACCCTCAAGTTGTTGGTTCGAGTGTTTGCTTCGTTCACCTCATATTCTCCGTTGCGCAAGGGACGGTTCCCTTGTCGCTCCCTGGGGTAAGGGTTTAGAGTTAAGGGTCCAGGGCTTAGAGTTTAGAGAAACCGCAAGCAACTTTGCCGGGAAACACCGGACGCCAGGGATCAGGCCTTAGATTGTAGCGCGTGGGAAAACGGCGTATTCGAGCTCAGTTTGCTAAAACCTGAAATCTTTAACCCTATAAACTCTAAACCCCTAAGTAGCGGCTATTTGGGTTAAGGGTGCTGAAAACCTCACAAGCTCTTTAACCCTAAGCTCTAAGCTCTCAACCCTAAACCCGAAACCCTAAACCCCAAACCCTAAACCCTAAACCCTAAACCCTAAACCCTAAACCCTAAACCCCCTGCGCCAAGGTCACTAGGCGTGTCTTGGTGCCTCAGCTCTCCGACTGGCGAAAGCCTTTCAAGCCCCGTATCAAGCCGGTTCGGCCCGACCACAAGAGGCGCCAAAGGGTTTTGGGTTTAGGGTTTAGGGCTAGGGTTTAGGGTTTAGGGTTTAGGGTTTAGGGTTTAGGGTTTCGGGTTTGGGGTTTAGGGTTTAGAGGGTTTAGGGTTGCGGGGCTAAGGTTTCGGGTTTGAAGTGCCGGAGCCCCTCTAACCTAGATGATTGTACCAGGGTGGGGAGGTGGAGTAGTGCAAGCATGGGCACCCTTATGAGTTCTAGATACCTTACCTTTCCGGTATACGAACATGATGCCCTCCCACGAACAAACCCGAACCTTGTCGAACTTCAACCCTGAGTCCGAGAGGCTCCCAGCTCGAAACCAAACACACAGCACGGCATGACGGGGACCCTAAACCCTAAACCCTAAACCCTAAACCCTAGACCATGGGGGCAGGGGGGCAGTGGAGGGATGCATTCGTGTCTGTATGCCTCCATGCATGCATGAATGTTATTTTGCTTAGTGCTTGGAGGTTCATGGGTATACTTTGAGCCTGCTTGGAGAACTCAGGGGGCCTGTAAGTGAATCCTTTGAACCTCCACAAGTGGGGCGTTTTGGTTTGTATGCGGGGGGCCGGGGGGGGGGGGGCGCGGGGGGGGGGGGGGCGGCGGTGGGGGGGGGGGGGGGGGGGGGGGAGAATTGGTCCCTAAACCCTAAACCCTAAACCCTAAACCCTAAACCCTAAAGTTTGCGTGGTGTTGGGGGGGCGGGGGGCAGGTTCCCGGCTGACGAGCCCATGAAGTCCCGGCCGCAGTTCGCCAAGTTTGCGCTCATGGCCAAGGCTGGCTTCTTTGGGTTAAGGGTTAAGCTTTAGGGTTTAGGGTTTAGGGCTTAGGGTTTAGGGTTTTTCAGGGCTTTTGTGATCTTGCGCGCAAGTCTTAGCAAGGCTTCAGAAGGGCAAACTCATGTCTGGACTTGGAATAAGAAGATTTGTGATAAGGGCTTATAAGGCACTGTTGGGGCTTTGGGAAGGATGAGGAGCTGATCGAAAGTCACTCCCAAACCCATCCTCAGGGACTCAATGAACCCTGAAAATGGGATCCTCGACCCAACACGACTCCAGTCCCTGTTCAGGTAGATAGGGGCTGAACCCCAGCCCCAAAACCCCTGAACCCTAATGTCGTAGGGTTTTTGGGCCTGGGGATGGAGGTCTAAGCCCCTGAGCCTGAAGCCCTCCCCCCGAAAATCCCTACATCCCCATTGCGAAAAAACCCTCAACCCTGTAGACCCTCAACCCTCAACCCTCAACCCTCAACCCTCAACCCTCAACCCTCAACCCTCAACCCTCAACCCTAAACCCTACCTAGGTTGACCCTTTTAAAGGCCCTCTACGAGAAAGCTCCAGGAGCTTTGCTGGGTGACCAGCAAGCAGCTGGAGGATGCGCGGCGCGAGATCGTCAAGGCCACAGGCCGCACGGCCAAGGTGGGGAGGGGCTGATTAGGCACAAGGGGGTTTAGGGTTTAGGGTTTAGGGTTTAGGGTTTAGGGTTTAGGGTTTAGGGTTTAGGGTTAGGGGCTTAGGGGGTTTAGGGAGTTTGTTGGGAAAGTTTAACGGGTTTAGGGTGTTTAGGGTTTTCAGGATGAAGGGGCCTAATGTGGTTTTATGGGTTTGGGGAGTTCTGCTGAGGGTTGGGGGCTTAAGCGGGTTAAGGGGTTTACAAGGCTTGGGTTTAGGCAAAAAAAATAAGGGTCTATAGGGCTGAAGGGGTTTAGGGGTATCGGGTTGGGTTGGCAAGGGTTTGCGGCTTTAGGTCACAGGGATCCCAATGCCCTAAACCCTATGTCCCCATGCGCTACACCCTGAACCATGTTTGAGATCAGTTCCTCCCAATTTTTCAAGACATCATACGGTTTCATGGCTTGGGAATGAAGACGGAAATCTTTGTCGGTTCCAAGAGGCATGTAATCGCAGTGTCGGTTTCATGTTGATGGTGTCCGGCTGTAGAAATTGTTGGCCTTGTAGGCAGATCCCTCTGCCACTTTTCTGCCGCCTGCAGCGGGACCCTGTAACCTACACGAAGCGCCAGTATCCCTAAGCCCTAAACCCTTGTTCGGGGTTGCTGGGCTGACAGGTTTATCTGCGCGTCTACCCGCACAATGCCATCACGCAGAGGACTGAACAGAGACAAAGTTTTGGTTCCGCAGAGTCCAAAATGTTCACTTCATATTAACAACCCCTACCCCCTAAACCCTAAACCCTAAACCGTGTGTTCGCTTCATATTACTTACCCCCCGCCCCCCCTTTCAAGGTATGGTCACAGGCCGTTGGTTCCGTAATTAACATTAAGTCTTTGGACCTTAGCGGTCCCAGACTGCGCGTCCCGACGTTCAAACCTTACGTCCCCAAACCGCACGTCCTCAAGACTTGGAGGGGAAGGTAGAGGCAGGGCTGCGTTTTCCAGGCCTCCTAGAACACGCATTTTGCTGGCAGGCGAGATGGGGGGGGGGGGGCAGGCGGAATGCATTTTAAGAGAGGGCAAAACGCACTTTGCTTGCAGGCGGGAGTGAGGGGGGAATGCGTTTTCCAGGCCTTCCAAAACGCATGTTGCTGTCAGGTGGGAAGGAGGGGGGGGGGGGGGGGGGGGGGGTGCATTTTCCAGGCCTTTTCAACGCATTTTGCTGGCAGCAGTTGGCTTGAAGGCAGGGAAAGGCGGAATGCATTTTGCGGGCGAGTGGGAAGGAGGATGCATGGGGAAGAGAGGGACTGCGTTCTCCAGGGCTTCCAAAACGCACTTTGCTTGCAGGATCTTGCAGGCGGGAGTTGGGGAGCGGGGCGGGGGGCTGCGTTTGCCAGGCCTCCTGGCTTGTTTGCGTTCTTCATGCCTTTTGAAATGCAGTTTGCCCAATTGTTTTCAGCAACAAAGGAAAAGGCAGCTTTTCAACCGGCTTTGGCCCGGAAGGATTGTGCAACTACGGGGGGGGGGGTGTTATAATTACATTCTGGGATTTGGATTGTGCAGTTACGACGGGGGGGTTATTAATTTACAAGGTCAACATTACCCACCCACCCCTCTTTTTGGCTACCCAGATTCCTAGATTGTATGTTTAGCTTATACTATACACAGAATTTCCTGCGAGTAACATTTGAAAATGACCCCGCCGACCAACGCAAACGAGGAGCTACATCTGAGGGTCAGCGAACTTGGCTTGCTATACTACACAACGGCTATAGCTGGGATATCCTAAGTTCTAGGGAGATATTAGGGTGCTTGTAGCCCTATACATATAACCCAGGAACCGGATGTACTACCACCTCATTTACCTACATAAACAGAAAGTATCTGAACGTCGGAATATACACACAGAACAACTGGAATTGTTGCACGTTAAATATGCAAAGCGCTGTAGGAATATCACTACACTTGTACTAGGACCCAGAGTAGGCCCTTTTCCCTTTTTTAGGGTTTAGGGTTCCCTTGTAAGTCCTTTTAGACCAAAAAGGGTAACCATTTTGTTCATAGCTGTCTGTGGGGTCTAGTATTTACTAATTGCTTAAAGCAGATTTATGTTGTTTCGCTTTTGCGGGGTTTCTTAAGCAAATAGTAGTATACTCGGTGGAGTAGACGTAGAATTTGGGTTATAGCTACCCATGAAACCCTAACCCTCAACCCTAAATAACAGGGGTTATAAGTACCCAAGAACCTCCAAGTACACTCATATGGCTCACAAACACATGAAGCCCAATACTTTGAACTAACGAATATACCTTACCTTTATAATGGCTCCTTAATATGTATGTTCCCTGTTTTTAAACCCTAAACCGTTTAGGGTTTAGGGTTTAGGGTTTAGGGTTTAGGGTTTAGGGTTTAGGGTTTAGGGTTTAGGGTTTAGGGTATTGGGATCTTTGGCCTCTTTGGGTGAAGCACACTCCAGGATTGCCGACAGCCGCACGGGCGCCAGCAAGGGGCGGTTCGAGTACTGGGTTGCTGCTCTGACGCCCGGCAGGCATCCCTAAACCCTAAACCCTAAACCCTAAACCCTAAACCCTAAACCCTAAACCCTAAACCCTAAACCCTAAACCCTAAACCTAAACCCTAAACCCTAAGCGGTGGGGGATGAAGGTTTAGGGGATTTTCGGGGCTTCAGGCTTCTCTCTTGTTCTCGAAGTATCTTGTGCAGATCCAGGGGGGGAGGTGGGGTTAGGCCTAGGATCCCTTTGACCCTAGACCCTAAACCCTATGGGGGTTTCGGGTTTCAGGGATTAAACCCTATAAGCCTTAAGCCCCAAGTCCTTTGGGCTCCAGGGTTTGGAGCCTTGAGGCCTTTGGGGGGGAGGTCTAAGCGTGGCCGACATCCTGTGAAGCTGTGTGGGGATCACTGTTGGGTAGGGGTTTAGGGTTTAGGGTTTAGGGTTTAGGGTTTAGGGTTTAGGGTTTAGGGTTTAGGGTTTAGGGTTTAGGGTTTAGGGTTTAGGGTTTGGGGTTTGGGGTTTGGGGTTTGGGTGTAGGGTTGAGGGTTGAGGGTTGAGGGTTGAGGGTTGAGGGTTTTAATTAGGGTAGGGTTTAGGACGTAGAATTGAGGTTTTGGGTTTGGGGTGGTTGGGTGGCAAGGTTGCTTGGTATCTTTCGTACGTACCAAAATTTTGATCTGCAGCCGGTCCGGTCTTCCGCAAGCCGGGAGGATCCCTGGGCCCTGTGGGCCCTGAACTGCGCGGATCGCTCAACCGGGAGGATCCCTGGTACACTCCCCCACTACTCACTAAGGCTCCCGAAGCTTCCCTAAGTTTTCCAGGTACCTACCCCCCGTGAACTCCCCTCCCTTAAGAACCCTACAGCAGAGTTTTGGGGTTGGGAATGTTTTGGTTCCATAGTCTACTTGGAGGTTCAGGGTATTTATACCCCCCATTAGAACTGTACTTATAAGCCCCCGAAGTCCTCTAAGTAGGTTACAAGTAGACTTGTAGTTGGGGTAATAACCCGAAACTCTAAACCCTAAACCCTGGGGTTATAAGTACCCACGAACCTCCAAGTAGGGCATCGCTGCAAGGCGGACTGTCTGTGGTCACATGGCAGGGGTGGGTGGGTTGATCTGGGCAATGGGTCCGGTTTGTTGCCCTACGCAATGAGGAATCCACGAGAAACCCCAAACCCTTAACTCTAACCCAAAACCTAAACCTTAAATCCCAAACCCTAAACCCCAAACCCTAAACCCTGAACCCAAACCGCGATGGCCCCAAAGCACGTGCCTGAAAACCCAGGAAGCCTGGTGTGGTCATCTTCGAGTTAGATGTGGAGTCGGAGGAGTGGACGGTTTGGGGTTATCAGGGTTTTTGGAGCTTCGGGTAAGAATAAAATTAGGGTTTATAGGGTGGATAGGGTCATGGGTTTTTAGGGATTACAGGGTTTGGGCTTAGGGCAAGTTAGGGGTATCGCACTTGGGGTTGGCGAAGCCCAAGCCCGAAAACCCTAACATTGCAACCTTCCAAGCCCTTAAACAAACCCTAAGCCACCAACCCTAAAACTTCAAAGCCCTAAACCAAAAAACCCTAAAACACCAACCCGAAAACCCAGAGACCTCAACACCATAAACCCTAAACCAAACCAGCAACCCCTAAACCCTAAACCCTAAACCCTAAACCCCAAACCCCAAACCCTAAACCCTAAACCCTTGCAGGAGCTGGCGCGGATGGCGTTGAAGGCCGGCAGCCGGATGCTGCCTTTCAAGGTGGCGTTCAAGTATCGCGAAGCCCGGCATCGGGGTTTATGGTTAGGGTTTAGGGTTTTGGGTTTTGGGTTTTGGGTTTTGGGTTTAGGGTTTAGGGTTTAGGGTTTAGGGTATAGGGTTAGGGTTAGGGTTTATGGTTTAGGGTTTAGGGTTTCGGGTTTCGGGTTTAGGGTTAGAGTGTAGGGTGGGTTTAAGGCTAGGGTTCAGGGTTCAGCGTTCAGGGTTTAGGGTTTAGGGTTGAAGCTCTTTCAGGCACTCCAGCCAGCTCTGAAAACTCAAGGACTAACCTTTTGGCCCCAGCAGCCTGGATGAGGTGCAAGCTTGTGCTTGACAGGGTGTAGTGGTAGGTTCTAATCTACAGGGCTCACAGCTACAGGTTTGAGTTTTAGGGTTAGGATTTAGAGCTTTGGGAGTTTAGGGTTGAGGCAGTTAAGGGCTTGCAGGTTTGGCCCCCGGGGCCTGGGGTGTAGGTTTTAGGGCTTGCAAATTTAGCTTGTGGGGTTTATAGCTGAAGGCGTGTTCAATCTTAGGGTTCAACAACTCCTGAGGTAAGAGGGTTGGTTCAGGGGGTTTAGAGTTTTCCAGAAAGGAGGGGATAGAGACGACTACACCCTCAGCTAAGGAAAGGAGCATGCCTACGTGATTCGCGAGGGTTTAGGGCTTCGCGTTGATTGGAGTTTTGATAGCTTTGCTTCAAGATTCAGGGGTTTAGGGCTAGGGTTAGGGTCCAGGGTTTAGGGGTTTAGTTTTTAGGGTTTAGGTTGTTCACTGCTTTACAGGGTCCCGGGCCTAAGCCCGAAATCCCCAGGCTCCTGAAAGAACTTCACTTTCACCGTTTAGCTGGGTTTTGGAGTACTGTACTTTAATACTTTTTTTGGCTCTGGGTTCCTATTATAGCTACTTATACCTAAAAAAGTATATACTTTTTTTCCCTACTCCAAAGGTAGGAGCATGTGTAGCTTCAAAGCGCAGGGCTTCGCATGGGAGCGGGCCCCCTAGCCTCGCCAACACCTATTTGCACCCTGAGCCTCCCCCCCCCCCCAAAAAAAAAAAAAAAGCAAATAAGCGGAAAGAAAGAAAGAACAAAAAGAAAGAAATAAACAAACACATCAAGAAAAGAAAGAAACAAAGAAATAAAGAAAGCAAGAAAGAAAGAAACCGTCCCGGCGCCGCGATCCCCCAAGAGACCGACTGAGGAAGAGGGCCCTGCCATGTTCGAGCTGACCGCCTGAGTGCCTCTTTGCCAGGGCCTAGGGTTAAGAGTTTGTAGGGCTTATAGGGCTTCCGAGCCAGTAGTTGGTAGGGTTTACTGGGTTTATATGGTTTGCAGGGTTTGTAGGGCTTCTTGCTCAGCCAATAGTTGAACTTTAAACTGTTGGGTTTCCTTATTTTGTAGGAATTGTAGAAGTAAGGCTTGTAGTGGTTCATAAGCAGTCGGTCTTCTCTCGCTGAGTACGTAGGGAGCTGGCGCGAGGTGTGTGGAAGTTCGAGCAGTGGACAAAAAACGGGCGAGTGCCATGGTGTTCTGGATGTGTTTTCACATAACACCTAAACCCTAAACCCTACCATTTAGGCCGTTTTGGGGTGCAGGCGCTGTGCTGTCTCTTCCAATGGCCACTACAGCCAGCCGCCCCGAAACCCCCAAACACCAGATCAAGCGGAGTTTCTTTTTTCTCTCTCTCTCTCTCTCTTTTTCAAAAGCTGAGCCCCTCTCTGGAAGCCTTAGCCTACGAGCACTCCAAGCATTACAAAAATCACAAATGAAAGAAATGACCAATTTTTGCAGTGAATCGCAAGATCTACCCCCGAGTCGCGACCTCTCACCGCACATCTTGCTCCCTAAACCCTAGGTGCATGGGTACTTATAACCCCAATTCTAAGTCTCCTTGTGGCCTACTTAGAGGACTCGCCAGGCTTACATGTACAGTGACAGTTGGGGTTCGAAGTACCCATGAGCTACCAGGTGGAGGAACCTCATCTAGGAGATTCATAGACTCATGGAAGCTCTGAGCAGATCTCGCCCTAAAGCCGAAAGCAACGAAACCCTGGGCTTAGGGCTTAGGGTCCTAAACCCCTGTAAGCCCTAAACCCTTAGGGTTTAGGGTTATGTTCAAACTCAAGAAGGGCTTCAGGGGGCCTTATGGTTGTAGAGCTCAAGCTTGTTCAAGCGTTAAGGAAGTTCCCACTGCGACCTATATCCTAGATTCAAGCAGTCTAAGCCCCACACCCTAAACCCCCTCGTGGCGGCAGGCGTTGGATCAGCTGCCCCCACCCCCGCGGCCGCCCAGCAACGCGCCCACGAGGCGAGCTTCACTTTGCCAGGGAGGGTTCGGGTTGGGCTTGTGGGGTTTTGTACTAGACCGAATGCAACCAGCCGCCACAGTCCACACATGCAAAGCCGCAACACTGGACACAGACTTTTAGACCTGGAAAGCCCAGATCACGAAGCAATGGGCAGGCTGAACAAGGGGCGGTGGGGGGGGGGGGGGGGGGTGGGCGAAAAACAGAAGCCCTAAAATCCAAAACCCTAAGCCAAACCCTTAAAAACCCTTAACCTAAAGCCTTAAGCCTAAACCCTAAACGCTGGCAACGAGTATGGCCCAGAACCCCCCCCCCCCCCCTCCTGCCTTTTCTCGAGCTACCATAGGGTGTTTCCTGACCCAATAGTAGGATCGAGGGTTGAGCGGTTAGTAGGGTTTAGGGTTTAGGGTTTAGGGTTTAGGGTTTAGGGTTTAGGGTTTAGGGTTTAGGGTTGTAGGCCCCCAAGGGTTTTGGGCTTAGCGACCCCGAAACCCTGAAACTCTCCTTCCTCAGCTGCAGGCTTTGCGTTTCAGACGTCTACAGGTCCGGGGCGACCTTCGGCCGAGATTTGCGCAAGTTATCGGGCGAAGGCTTGGGGCCTTGGAACCCTAAACCCTAAGCCCTAAACCCTAAACCCTAACCCTAAACCCTAAACCCTGGAGAGCCCTAAGCCGCAGGTGCCCCACAGCCAGCCGAGCCACAAGGATCCAAAAGCGACCCAAGGATTCCCCTGCCGGTTCTTGGTAGGGAATACCGGAATACCTTAAAGCCTAAACCCTAAACGGCCCTAAACCCTAAACCCTAAACCCTAAGCCCTAAACCCTAAACCCTAAACCCTAAACCCTAAACCCTAAACCCTAAACCCTAAACCCTAAACCCTAAACCCTAAACCCTAAACCCTAAACCGCAGCCCGATTATCTTCCTATATGTATATCCTTCAAGGGGCTGTTAGGGCACCGAAATTCCCTCATTCCCTAAAACACACACACATACATCCTACACGGTTACGGATTATGACCCCAAATCTCTACACCCCGCCTGTAGAAACTCTACAACCCCTGCATGCTGACCTTGGCAGGTCACTGGTACCCTTTTCCCCTTTTTGTGGGTTCAAAGCGTCCCTTTTCAAGTAACCCACCCAAAAATGCCAGTCTAAGGCTTGGACCGTGGGCCCTTAGTATGATCCCTTACCCTTGTCTTAAAGGGATTTAAAGGGCTCCGAAGTATGGGCCCTTCTTAGGTATGGTGTATAAACGGGTCATGTAAGGAGGGACCCAAATTCAGGGCCCAAACTTCGGACCCTAGACATGGGTACTGGGCTACATGGAGTTTCAGGGTACTTATAACCCCAATTAGGTTCAGGGTACTTATAACCCCAATTAGAACTGTACTTACAAGCCCCCGAAGTCCTCCAAGTAGGTTATAAGTAGACTGATAATTGGGGTTTCAAGTACCCATGTACCTCCAAGTAACCCTAAACCCTAAGCCCTAAACCCCTAAACAAAAAAAAACACCTCCAAGTACCAAGTGGCTCGATCCTAGGAACACCAGCGTTTCCGGCAAAGTGGTGTCGGGAACGCTGAACGTGGGGCAGAAGGCCGGCAGAGAATCGGTGAAGACACCTTTGTAAACCCTAAGCCCCTAAGCCCTGTACCGATGAGTGTATGTGTTTATATGTGTTGATATGTGTGTGTGAGAGAGAGAGAGTGTGTGTGTGTGTTTGTACGTGTGTGTGTGTTTGTACGTGTGTGTGTGTGTGTGTTTGTACGTGTGTGTGTTTGTACGTGTGTGTGTGAAAACAGGTTCACACATTGTTGGAAAAGCATCACTGGCGTAGACAGCCAGCTTGCAGGGGGCGCAGGGAACATTGACAGAGTCCTGCGCCAACGAAGATGCTCTTCAATGTTCGTGTGAGCGCACTCTGAAAGGGTTTTCCTCCTGTCAAGCAAGTTTGCATGCAGGCAGGGGTTGAGCACCTCTCGCAGTACATATGTCCCACTTTATACTAACAGTCCTGAATAAGGAATGCCTATTTAATCCGTATCAAGGACTGTTAGTAGAAGTGGGAACATCCCTACATATGCCGCGTGTACGCGTTTTGTAACTTCCAGTTTCCATGAGGGCTGAATTCACGGACGAGCACGAGTGCATGTGCAGCAGTCATGATCAGTGCAAGTGTTGTGCAGCTGTCATGTCCAGCAGTCATGTTCAGTTTGGACTCTCCGAATCATGGGAAGAATGTGACTGTGTGTGTGTGTGTTGGTGTCTGTGCATGCGTTGGTGTCTGTGCATGCGTGCCTGCGTGCCTGCGTGCGTGCGTGCGTGCGTGCGTGCGTGCGTGCGTGCGTGCGTCTGTGTGCGTCTGTGTGCGTCTGTGTGCGTCTGTGTGCGTCTGTGTGCGTGTGTGTGTGTGTGTGTGTTCATATTCCAACTGTCTTGCATGTCTCCAACAGGGACATGCGGTTAAAGCCAGTCTTGTGCAAGAGTGCACAAGGGCGAAGCGCAAGAGGATTGTATGGTACGGGCAACAGTGCTCGAGTAGAGAATAACCCTCAGAGAATCGCTAATGGGGGCGCTGTAATGGGGGGCGGGCGTAAGGTATGATGAGCCTGAAAAGGTTCATCTGACATCGGAATCTCATTTTTAATTTGGGCGATGAGGTCTTTACTCACGCTTGGAACCCTTTCCGAAAACTGTTGCGAAGATGATGCGGAGCGCGCGCACATCGTTGCAGCGAACATTGCGCAGCAGTTGCAGAAGCGCACAATTGTGCACAATCGTGGTGATCTGCGGCGCCACAATGGCCCACAATTGCCGTCGTTTGCGTGCGTTCTGCATTTGTGCATGTTTGCTCGCCGTGCCACGCGCAAGGCGCATTGTAATTTCAGGAAGCATGACAACAGCTGCAAGCAGCAGCTGCAGACCTGGAGTTAGAGTAGCCTTCATGCTCATGGCAAGCGCCCGTAAGCCCCCATGTGAGGGGCCCCATTTGCGAAACCCACATATTTTTCGTGACTCTTGGGCTCGGCAAGTACAGATCCCTGCACGAGAAGCCCTGAACCCTAAGCCCTAATCCCTAAACCCTATAAACCCGCAAATCCTAAACAATCCCTGCACGAGAAGCCCCAAAGCAAGTACCGACGAAGCTTGGAGGTTCTCTTACAGCCTTCCAACGAGACGACGACAGTGCCACTGGCTTCTTAGGGTTCAGGGTTTAGGGTTTAGGTTTTAGGGTTTAGGGTTTAGGGTTTAGGGTTTAGGGGTTAACCCAGGGCAGCTTTCGGAACTCTAAAACCCCGTATGTTGTTCTTATGCTATTTACTGTATACAAAAAAACCCGCTACTATATGTTGTAAGATGCATAAGGTATATACTCTGCTCCTTCTGAAGCTATCATTAGATGTAGGGTATTGCGGGGTTTTCGGGGATTTCGCCTGAGAGAAGGGGGGGGGGGGTGATGATGATAGTATAGTTATATAGGACAAGAGGGGAATATTGTAGATAACTTTTCCGACCCGTATATTACCACTAAACCCTAACCCGTAACCCCTAACCCCTAAACCCCTAACCCCTAACCCCTAAACCCTAAACCCTAAACCCTAAACCCTGAACCCTGAACCCTGAACCCTAAACCCTAAACCCTAAACCCTAAACCCTACCCACTCTTACGGAAGGAGGCGCCGCCATATGGAACTCCGGTGGCCTCCGTGAGGCAGGTCATGCCAAGGGCTCCGGGCTTGATCTGGAAGCCTGGCCATTGTCGGACCCTATGCATACATCTATACATATATACATGTGTATATATATATATATGCTTCCCCCCCCCCCCAAAGATCTACCGTTTTAGCTACTTTTTATAGACAGGATCCCTTCAACTTTATTCGGCTCCTCATGACAGGAACACTTCCTGAACTGAGACTGAATACCAAA